TAGAAATGAGCACACCTAGTACCCAGATCTTGGTTTCTAGTAATAAAAAAAATAAAAAAAAAAAAAAAACCACAGTCGCTATTGAGTCGACTCCAACTTACTGCGACCCCATGTTTGTCAGAGTAGAACTGTGTTCCATAGGGTTTTCAATGGCTGATTTTTCGGAAGTAGATAAGTAGGCCTTTCTTCCAAGGTGTTTCCAGGTAGACTCAAACCTCCAACCTTTCAGTTAGCAGCTGAGCGCTTAACCGTTTGCACTACCCAGGGACTTCTTGGTTTCTAATACCATTCTCCAATTAAAGGAACTAAGGATCCTTGTAGAAATGGCTGATTCTAGAACTGGGGCAGGAAATATACAAGATGAACCTAGGGTATCTTACAGTGCCAGAAAATAAGGAAGTGTCCTCCCACCCTCCAAAAAAGAAAACAACCCAAAAGCCCCATTGATAGGGGTATGTGAAAGGGACATAGGAACCAACTGAAAGAGCTTCAAGTGGTCAGAGTTGGAACAATGTGAGGAACAAAACAAGAAGGGCAGTACTGGATTATAACCCAATCTTTGAGTCCAGACTTATATAAATACATGATTGAAGACATTAATAAATGGGGAAGAAAAGACAAATCTCCCATGCAGAAGAATTCCAAATAATTTATGTAGCTACTTCATTCCCAAGGAAGCGGAGCATAACTCCCTACTCCTTAAGAATGGGCTGAGCATGGTAACTCCTTTCCAAAGAGTACAGAATGGAAACAAGGGGGAAAAGAGAGTAACTTTACAGTGGAGAAACCTGACAAACACTACCTCGACCAGAGGATCATGGTCATTGTCAACAGTGATAAGTCATGCTGACAGCATGTACCCTTGATATGATATGATGAAAATGGCACTTTACCTCTATGATCTTCTTCTCAAAAACCCATAACCCTAGCCTCATCAGGAGAAAAACATCAGACAAGTTCCAACTGAGGTCAAGGTCATCAAAAGCAAGGAATGTCTAAGAAATTGTCACAGCCAAGAGGAACCTAAAGAGACATGACAACGAACTGTATATGGTATTCTAGATGGGATCCTTGAACAGAAAAAGGACATCAGGAAAAAATTAAGGAAATCTGAACAAAGTATGGACTCAGTTAATAATATATCAATATTGGTTCATTAATTGTGACAAATGTACCATACTAAATTGGAGCCCTGGTGGAGCAGTGGTTAAGTGCTTGGCTGCTAACCAAAAGGTCAGCAGTTTGAATCCACCAGCCGCTCCCTGGAAAACTGTTGGGCAGTTCTACTCTGTCCTATAGGGTCACAATGAGTCAGAATCAACACTACGGCAACGGGTTTTGGGATTTTTTAATGTAAGATGTTAGTAACGGGAAATTCTGGGAGTGAGGTAGCCTTCAAGAACTCTCTGTTCTATCTTCACAATAACTCTGTAAATCTAAAACTGTTCTAAAAAATAAAGTCTATTTAAAAAATGAAGGTGAAGTAAGGACTTTTTCAGAAAAATGGTATACCCAGACTTTGCCCATGTCTCCTGATACTCTCTTCTGGAGAGAGATATTTTATTTTAACGCTGTAGAGATTGCTGTTGAGTGTATTGAGGTGATTCTGACTCATAGCAATCCTACAGAGAAGAGGGCAATTAATGGCTAATTAGTGTTAAAGTCTTGAAAGCCTACCCTTGGAACTGGATATATGATTTTTCTCCTTGTGAAGATTCCAGAGGCTTGGTCTGAGTAATTGTAGTTAGAACCAAGCTACATCTACCCTCTAAGCAAGTCTTCAAAGGGTTTCTTACTCTTGACAACTCTGGGAACCAACTCCAAACCTCCATTTAATGATATACCTCATGGCTGGGTTAATACTAGTAACACTACAGCTAATGAAACAAATGTGGGAAACAGAAAAGCAGTCCCTCTCGAAGTTCATGTGCACGCATGCGAGTGAGCAGGTGTTGTGTGTGGGCACACAGATGTGTGTTCATGAAGACTGCGTGTGAGGCTCTGGACCTGAACCCATGAGTGATAGACATAAGTCTGGCCTGGTGCTTAAGAAAGATCTGAGTTCAAATACAGCTCTTACATTTATAGCCAAGTGATCTTGAGCCCCTGGGAGGTGCAAATGGTTAACACACTCGGCTGCTAACCAAAAGGCTGAAGGTTTGCGTCCACCCAGAGGCTTCTCGGAAGAAAGGCCTGGCAATCTACTTCCGCAAAATCAGCCACTGAAAACCCTATGGAACACAGTTTACTCTGACACACATGGGGTTGCCATGAATTGGAACTGACTCGATGGCAACTAGAAGGGGTGGATCTTGGGCAAGGCTACTCCTCTCTCCAAGCCTCAGTTTCACTACTTGTGAAACTTGGCTAATAATACTTCCCTTGCAGGGTGACTGTGAGGCTTAAGGAGATCATGTTTAAAAAGCAGCTGGCACCACGCCTGGAAACAGCAAGTTCTCAATGGGAGCAGCTGCTATTATTATCATTATGAGTGCAAACACTATGTGGGAGTCTATTCCGGCTGTTCCTGAAAAGCTAGAGAAGATGACTTTTGCTGTCGTGTCTTTTGGACAGTTCCCATCTATTCCCTGTCCTCCATCAGAACATGAGGATAGAGGGCGGGAAGGGCTTTCCTGGGTCTCAGCTCTTAGAGTCGTGTTCCTAGAGCTCTCTGCCCCCCATGTCAGAGCCAGCACTGTTCTGTTAAAAGGCTGCCCTTTCACATGTATTCACGTGTTGGTTTGGCTCCCAGTACTTTATCCAAGTGACTTTAATGGTGGAACCTCAGCCAGTGTGGCTGGTGGGTATGTGGGCCCTATTCTGGATCAGTGGAGTGGTGGGAACTTGGCTTTTTCTATCAATCATACCTCTGGCTTAGCTTCCTAGGTGAGGGCTTCTGGCCATGGTGAACGCTGCCTCCTCCAGGGAGCCTTCTCTAGTCTTTACAACCAACAACTACTTTCCAAACTCTACTGAAGGTGGTGTGGAGCCTGGAAGGCTTTCCAAAAGGGAGGAATGGCACTGTCAGACATATTTTAAAAGGATCACTCTGGCTTCCCGGTAGAGAATGAACTGGTGGCCAGAAGCTGGGAGGGACCTTCGGCAATAGTCCAAGCAGGAGGTGATAAGGCCTGAGCTGCACTGGTGGCTGTGGGGAAGGAGGAGGCAGAGCCCCGGCCCAGCCCTCAAGGACACCAGGACTCATGGCCACTGAGCTCTGTCTCTGGGTCAGGGCTGATCTGGATCTGCCTGGCTACACCTCCCCCTGCCCCCTGCTGATCCAGAGCAGGCCCTGGAGCAGCTGTCCACAGCTGGCTTGAGGGACAGCAGGCCGTGATGGTTCCTGATGCAGCATCTGACCTCAGCCTTTGCAGGGAGCCTGGAGTGCGTTTGGCCATAGGCTCCCCCTCATGCACAGGCTCACCCGTGGGAGGGAGGACACATCCCTCCCTGACCTAGTTTTCTCTTTGGAGGCAGAGGTGGCTCAAGCTGGTGGGCAGTGTGGAGAACGCAGCCCATCTGCTGCTTTGCCAAGGTGCTGGGCCCCAAAACACCTCTCTGTTTTGGCTGTGTTGAGTGACATTTTGACATTTCACTGTGTGTACAGGATGCCAAAGTGACAGAGCAGGGAGCCAGATGAACTTGCGGGGGAGGGACCCAGTGACAAAGCATGTCTGACCCACCCTGAAAACGGCCCGGGAAACTGGCCTCTTTTTTCCACACCCAGCTGGTGATGGCTTCAGCTCCACACTCAACGCCCCGGCCTCCCATGCAGGCTCCTGTCCTACTTCTCCTCTCCTGATCCCCTTGTCCAGCCATGCTGGGTGACTCTCTGAACTAGTCTGCATCCTACACTTTCCTACCGCCATGCCTTTGCCCCTGCCATTCCTTCTTCCTGGTGCACCTTTTCTTCTCAGCCTTCTTGGCATGTATATACATCCTTCCTCTGGAGGCACCTCCTGTACCACCTCTTCTCACAACCCCAGCTGGAAGGGATGCCTCCCTTCTTGGAACGTGCAGCATTTTCTCTCTCTCATGATATTTATCAAGATTATCTGTGTCCACGTATTTACTGCTTCACTAAGCTGTGATTTCCTCAAGGTCTGGGATTCATGTCTGATCTCTGTAACTCCAATACAAGACCAGATACACAGTAGGTGCTCAATAAATGTTCTTTCTCTTGCTCTTCTTCTGACTGTGGATGACTCACTGTAAGGATGCCCTTCGTTATCTGCCACAGCAAAGTTGATTAACTCCTCGGCACACAGCCCACCACTATCCCCTTCTGTTCCTGGGGAAGACATCACTAATAGATTACTGAACTCTTTCCCACTGAGCTAGGACTCAGCCTCAGAATCCTTCTCAACACACAGCTTAAACATATTTACAGCTTAGTGGAACAGCACATATGTGTACTCAAACAACCAAGGTAATCATTCAAATGGAGCTGGCATGTGGAATAAAGTTTGCCATCCTTGTCAGAAACCAGTAAACCCTTGATAAATATCTAACCATACAGAGTCACACAGTCAGAATCAGATGTGCACTTAGAGGCCACAAATTCTAGTGGTTCTCAAACTTTTATGGGCATCAAATTTATGTGGGGTGCTTGTTAAAAATGCATATCCCTGGACCCTACCCCCAGAAATTCTGACTAGATAGACCTGAGGTGTGTCTAGGGATGCGTAGTTCACAAAGCACTCCAGGTGCTGATGTGGAGGGTCTCAGACCACAGTTGGGCAATACTTAGTGAGTATGTGCACGTCGGTAGCCACCCTCATTGCTCAAATGGTGAACCTGAGGCCCAGGAAAGGACACTCAGTACCAGAGGTCTCAGAGCAAGTGTCATGCCAGAACCCAAGGCTCTTTTTAAGGTCCCAGGAGACAGAGATGGTTGCGTGCAGTCCCCTGGAAGTAGGGTACCCCAAGAAGTTGCAGGGCAGGGTAGAAGAGGATCCTGGAACCTGCACCTAAAGAAGGTATTAATGGGCCCGACTTACCCCTTGCTCCATGCTGTCGTTGATGCGGTCCGTGACTTTGGAGATGAGGGTCAGTGCACCTGCAGAGGGAAGCAGAGCAGACAGCCGGGCTGTTTGGGGAGGGCCAATCTAGTTGTCCCATGCTTGCCTCTTCCCTGACCATGCTCCTCCCTGCCCCTCCCTCCATGTGCTCCCTGACACTGCTGCAGCTGCAGGACCTTGTATGTGGGTGGTCAGCTTTTCCCATTGAAGGCCAGGCCACTATCTAGGTGACCCTGACAGTGATTTGGTCACTGTGGGCCCCAGCTCCCCCGGATGTAGACTGAATATGTTAAGATGGGAACTGCCTGGCAGCTAGGTCCTCCGGGAACAGCCACACAGAATTGGGAGGAGAGAGGGAGACTGGGATATGCTTTTCAGACCTGGCACTACCTCCCATCACCAAATTCTGGTCACCCCTTTCTCCTCCTCTTTTTGGACATCGGCCATCCCAGGGACTCCCTGTGGTCGAGGTGATGAGGGAATCATCTCCGAATATCTGGAGAGGCCCCAGAGGGTTGATATCCAGAACACACCCAGACTCTGTCCTGGGCTTGGGAACTAGTATAGAGGGCAGAGCTGGGGGAGACGGGCCCCAAACAGGAGTGTGTCCCCTTCCTCCTGGGGCATGCCTGACTTACCCTGAGTGTTCTCATACTCAGCCGAGTCTGGGCAAAGGTTATTTAAATAGTCTGTAGGCAGAGCAAGAGTCAGGAGTCAGTTATGCCCTGGTGAGGCTAGCCCCTCCTGTCCACACTATGGCCACCCTCTCTCGCTCCAGAGACAGAAGGAAAGTTCCAGAAGAATAGGGTGTCCACCCTCCCACTTCTGTTAGCTCCATCTCAATACATGCTAGCACAGTACCAGGCCCCCATGACCACCATCAGCATCGCTGCCACCACTGCTAGTCATTTAATCACTCAACAAATACCTACTGAGTGCCTGCTGTATGCCTGCACCGTGGTATGCCTGTGGGATGCAAGGTAAGACCTGCCTTCAAGAAGCACACAGTCTATTGGGGGAGATACACCGGTCAGTCAGCACAGCAGAGTGTGATGTGTTAAACCTTTGACACATGTATAGCCACAAGGCTCTACATGGTCTGGCCCTTCTCCAAACACCACTTTCCACCTCACTCCATTCCAGCCATATGGGCATGTTTGCTAGTTCTTGAACACGCCAAGCTTGTTCCTACCCTAGGGCCTTTGTACTTGCTATTTCCTCTGCCTGGTACTCTCATCTTCCAGTTCTTCATATGGCTCATGCCCTCACTTCACAGAGATCTGTGTTCAGTGTCACCACCTCAGTAAGGTCTTCCCTGACCATTGTATCTAATACAGCAGCACTGTTCCTCTCTGTCACTTTAACCTGTTACTTCTCTTCAGAGTTCTTATCACTGACGTATTTTTATTTCCTTATTCATTTGTCTGTTTCCTCCACTAGAATACAAACACTAACAGAGAGCCTGGTACATAGTAGGTGTTCAATAAATAATTGTTAAGTTAGATGAATGAATTCTCTATCCCTTTGCCCTAGTGTATTTTCACATAGACCCTATCACTACTAGAAACTGCACGTGTATGTTTACGTGTGTGGTGTTTGGCTCCCGCACTGGAATGTCAGTTCCCCAGGGCAGGACTCTTTATCCTTTGGGAGGTCGTTGGGTGAACAGGTCTGGAGCTCAGGACAGAGGTGTGGGTGTTTCCAGCAGGTGGAGGTAAGGAGAGGATGATACCCCCAGGGAGAGTTTGTAGAGTGGGAAGGAAAGAAGCCCTGGGACTGAGCCTGAGGAATACCGACTTTACGGGACATCCAGTGGAGGAAGGGGAGGAAGAGAGGCCATCAACAGAGACGAAGAAGGAGCAGCCTGAGAGGCTGGAGGAACACGTGAAGAGTGTATCACAGAAGCCTGGAAGGGAAGGGCTTCGGGAAGCAGGAAGTGGTCAGTGCCAAAGCCACGGAGAGGTCAAGCAAGTCCAAGACTGAAATATACATTGATTTTGGCCACAAGGAGGGCTTTGGTGACCTTGACAACAGCAGTTTTAGTGAAATAAGGAGACACCTAGGTGAGACAGGGAGGAAATGCAGAATGGGGGAGGTTTCGGATGGGAGAGGCTGAAGGGACACATAGTTAGGTGGTCGTTGCAGTGAGGTTTCCAAGTTGACTCAACTGGAGGGAAGCTGGCGGTAAATCAAATACCTCTGGAGGGGCAGGGAGGCAGGAAACTGAGCAACCCCTTCTCCCTCCTCCCCAGTAGCCTTTGCAGGAGGGGAGGTCATCATCACACACCTTGCTGTCACCGCTACTCCCCTCCTCAGGTGCTTCCCCTCTACCCACCACCTCTGTCCACCGTGACCTCCTGTGGGGCCCACCTGTGAGGAGCACTTGGTACTGGAAGAGGCGCTGCACCACCCTCAGCAGCCGATGCTTCACACTCTGGCCGCCTCCTTGCAGACTCTGCTGCTCTCAGAGAGGGCAAGAAAATCCCATCAGAGACCCCAGGCTCACAGCATCCCCCCACAGCACCCCCTCACACCTCTTCCCGGCCAACCTGAGCTTTTCCCCCATCTTCAAATCTGGTTCCCCTCCCCCAGAGAGTCCTCCCAGATCAGCCCTGCAGGCTCACAGCTGGTACCATACTCAGTAACACACTTGTTCTGGTCCCTGCTTTGCTCCTAGTTTTAGAAACAGAGAAAAGGCCCAGTAACTGGACACCCAGTGTGTGGCCAGCATTGGTGACTGCCTTGGTCACCCCAGTGTCTAGGACCCTAGGCTGACTAGTGCTTCTCTACTGGGACAGGAGAACTGTCAGAGAGACCCTCAGTGGTCGGGGTCAGCAATGGTCCCGCAGGGGATGTCCTGGGTTCCCAGTTTTCCCTCCTGATGTGTCACCCTTCATTCCCGCTGGCCAGGTCATCCTCTCTGCTCCTCAGCCTCAGCCGGATCTGGATGCCCCATCCACATGCATTAAGCCCTTCAGTGCCCACTGCCCCTCTAATATCCTTAGAGCAGGGACTCAGAGGAGCATGGGACCCACCTCAAATTCGTGGACAGCAGCTGCCAGCTGCGGGGAGTGGAGGCAGTTCTCACTGAGTAGACCCAGGTACCTGTCGAACTGCACGATGTGAGCGGCGTGGTGGTCGAACCCCAGCTCCCGCGCCAGGAAGACGTCAGCCACCTCCTGCTGCCCCTCCCTGCAGCCAGGGAGGGGATGGACAGAGAACTCAGCCTGGGAGTCTACTCAGCATAGCAGTTAGAGGGTGAGGGCTGAAGCTATAGCCCTGGGTGTGAACCCCAGCTCTACCTTTCCAAAGTGGTTTTACTTTGGGCAAATGACTTAACATATCAGTAAATGGAGACGCATGTCATACAGTGGTGTTTTTAGCATCCTCTCCACCTCACAGTGGGAGTTTCTGGGTGGTGCAAATGGTTAACATGCTCACTCCTAATCGAAAGGTTAGAGGTTCAAGTCCAATCAGAGGTGCAAGTCTACCCAGAGGTGCCTTGGAAGAAAGGCCTGGTGATCTACTTCTGAGAATCAGCCACTGAAAACTCTATGGAGCACAGTTCTACTCTACACACTGGGGTTGCCATGAGTCAGGGTCAACTTCATGGCTGGTTTGGGATTTTTGGTTTTCTGCCCCCCCAGGACAACAGAATTGGGGGTGGGGTCGAAGAAATGGCTCACCAGTGCACCAGCCTCTCCTCCAGCTCCTCCAGGATCCCTCGGTGAAGGTCGTGGATGGCTGGGAGTTGGCTCAGGCCTAGCCTCAGCTCCTCTCTGGATAGCAGGTCCCTGCCCTCTTGGTCCATCTCATCCAAGGTCCTCACAACTGCTCCATGGAAATCCTGAAACCCCAAGAAGCCTGTTACCCAAGGGCTGAAAGGCCTGAGCACAAGATGCCCCCTTGGCTGGGCACAGTCAGGCAGGTCCCACCTGCGACTCTGGAGCCCTGGCCTACATAAAGAAAGCCCAATGGCCTTGAGCCAGTGTGTTTGGACCCAAGATTTCTCATCTGTAAAACAGGGATGATGACATGCATTTTGTGATCATAAGGGCTGAATTAACTGATGCCCTAAAAGCACCTCATGTGTAGTCACCACCTGTCTGTCAGTGGAGGCTTGCATGTTCCTAGGATGCTGAAGAGGTTTCAGACTAAGATGGACTAGGAAGAAGACCTGGTGATCTACTTCCAAAAATCAGCTAATGAAACCTTACGGATCACATAAGGGGATGGCGCAGGACCCAGCAGCGTTTCATTCCACTGTACATGGGGTCGCCATGAGTCAGGGTGATTCCACGGCAGCTAACAACAACAAAAGAGCACCCCACGCTGTTCCTAACACAGAGCTGGGCTTTTAAAGCATGCTGACTCTCCCCTCCGGTGGGGAGCCTGGGGGAACACTCCTCTCTTACAAGATGCGTGAAAACTGGGGTGATTCCTTCCCTGAAGGAATACAAAGCTCCGGCTTGATAATTATCCGTCTTTGAAGAGGTTCATAGGATGTGTTTTCAAAACAAAGTCTTTTCAGAACTCTGTTTTCAAATCGACGTCTACAGAAATCATAGTCCATCCACTCCACAGAGTACTGAGCTGTCACTAAATGATAATGATGGTGGCTACATAAAAATATTCATGCTTAGCGCTAAGAAATAAAGAAGGTACACAAAGTTGTTTTCACACACTAGTACAGCTGTGTAAAAAATGAACAACAAAACATAAGCAGTGGCTGTGTCCAGCTTATGGAATTAGGAATGATGTTTTTCCTCTTGATTCTATTTTCTAAAAATTCTGTATTGTGATTAATTTGCTTTGAAAATTAAAATAAATTTAATACATATTAAAATTATAAACAAGGCAACACTTCTTTCGGGGGGGGGGGCAGTGATGGTTCAGAGGTAGAACTATTGCCTTCCATGGGGAAGACCCAGCTTCGATTCCCAGCCCGTGTACCACATGAGCAGACACCACCTGTCTGTCAGTGGAGGCTTGCGTGTTGCTATGATAGTGAAAAGATTTCCGTGGAGATTCCAGACTAAGACAGACTAGGAAGAAAGGTCTGGCAATTGACTTCTGAAAATCAGCTAGTGAAAACCCTATAGACCACAATGGAACACTGTCTGATCCACAACAGATCATGGGGATGGTGCAGGACTGGGCGGTGTTTTGTAATGTTATACACGGGGTTGCCAAGAGCTGGGGGCTGACTCAATGGCAACTAACAACAAGACTTCTTTCTCACAACAAAAATATTTTATTTTGAAATAACACCTGATCTTGCATGAGGCCCAGCTCTATAGTTTTAAATACACTGGGGCTCCTGAAACCACCTTGAATTGCAGAGCAATGCCAATCAGGAAAATCTCAGGGTCATGGAAAGAATCACCTTTACATACTCAGGAAGGATGTTCACTCTGCCTTGTTTGATTGCCTCCCTCAATGGGAAACTTACTACTGAATAACACAGTTAATTCCACTGTTGGACAGTTTTCACTGCTAAAGGTCTGAAGGGGAAGTGCCTGAGGGGATGAGCAGCCCCCTCCAGGAAGCTTTTCTGGTCTTTTCTCCTCCCACTGAAGGAGAGGAGGGAGGGCCAGAGGTGACAGGAGAGGGGCAGGAAAAATGGCAAGGAGGTGGGATGGGGAGAGAGAGAGAAAGAAAAACAAGGAGAGAGAGAGGGAGGGAGGGAAAGGAGGGAGGGAAGTGAAGCCAAGGAGGGAGCAATTGGAGAATGAAAGAGGTGGAGTCTGAGAGACACTCCTGCTCTGCCCTTGAACATCTGCAAAGAGGCGCCTGCGCTGTCAGACAGCGGACAGCAGATGTAGAGGTTACAGAGGCCTCTGCTTCCTGAACACCTCATCCTGTCCTGCACTGACCTCTCGCAGTGGCGACCTGCTCTGCCGGGAACTGGGGGGCGGGGAGATTCTGGGAGGGTGGCCCCACCCTGGCTTGCAGTCCCAAGAAGAGAGGATGAGCTGGCACCTCCTGAGGCCAGCCCTCAACTGGCCCAACCTCTTGTGATCTGCAGGTCCTGGAGACCCTCAGCCCCATCACAAAGATCAGAATTCTCAGGGGCCAAATCTTGAACTAATGAGTGGATTCTCTGGGCTCAGGGCACGGGTGTCCTCAGTGGAGGCCACGTGCTTGAGCTATAATTAGAAGCAGAATGTCATTGTATGGGAGTTAGCAGAGGCTTCCTGAAAGCATGTTTCAGAGGGTGGAGAAAGTGTGAGTTACCAGTAAAACCTGATGAGGAGGGCAGCTAGAGGGAGAAAGTATTATTTCTTTTTTAAAAACATATATAATTTTATTTATTTTGTTGTTGTTGTTGAGAATATACACAGCAAAACATACACCAATTCAATAGTTTCTACAAGTACAATTTAGTGACATCGATTACATTCTCTGAGTTGTGCAACCATTCTCACCCTCCTTTTCTGAGTTGTTCCTCCCACATTAACATAAACTCACTGCCCCTAAGGTTTCTATCTAATCTTTTGAGTTTCTGTTGTCACTTTGGTCTCATATATAGTTCTTAAAAAAGCATAATGCTCAAGGAAGACCTTTTTCACTAGGTAAGCTAAACTATTACTTGGTTTTAAGAAGACTTCAAGGGACATTTTTGGTTTAACTTTTAAAGATTATTTCAGGGCAATAGTTTTGGGGATTCATCCAGCCTCCATGGCTCCAAAAACTCTGGAGTCCATGAGGATTTGAAATTCTGTTCTGCATTTCCCCCCTTTTGGTTAGGATTCTTCTATGAAATCTTTGATCAAAATGTTCAGTAATGGTAGCTGGAAACCATCCAGTCTGGTCTCATGGCAAAGGAGGCAGTTGTTCACGGAGGCAACTAGCCACATATTCCATATCCTCCTCCTACTCCTGACTTTCTTCTTCCTCTGTTGCTCCAAGTGAATAGAGACCAACTGTGTCCTGAATGGCTGCTTGTAAGTTTTTAAGACCCCAGGCACTGGGCTATGAACTAGGAGATAGAAGAGAAGCACTAAACACGTTATTAGGCCAATTAACTGGGATGTCCTATGAAACCATGACCTAAACCTCTAAATCAAGAAACCAAATCCCATGAGGTTTTTGTTACTTCTTACTTCTGCCCACAGTTGGCTCTGGGACCCCTGGGTCATTCTGAACCTGGAGTAAAGGTTTTCTCTGCTGCCCTGGGCAGGATAACTCTCCTACTCTTTCCTTATAAGTCTCCAGATTCAGGACCCAGCCTCCAGCCCTGCAGGGTCTTGTCATCCCTGGCATCCCAGGGAAAGAAGACACTCGGTATTCTGATAAGGACAATGACCCCTCTGACTCGGGTGGCTGAGTGACACAGGATTTTCAACACACTCTCTCATCCAATCTGCACTGAGATTCAAGCCTGCCTACCCCACACAATAGCTGGGTGACTTTAGGCAGGTTGTCACCTCTCTGAGCTTGAGTTTCTTCATCTGTAAAACGGGGATAACAGCACCACCAACCAGAGCATGAGGTTGCTGTGTGGCTCATCCTGATGATTAAAATGGCTTTGCAAGCTGTAAAGTGATACCCACATGGCAGTTGTAATTTTATTTTAGATAGGACCTCGTTAGAGCAGGGGCCATGTACATTTTATTTCCAGGAAGCAAGGCCTGGAGATCTACCTCAAAAAATCATCCAAGGAAAACCTTATGGATCACAACAGATACAGTGCTGAAAGATAAGCCCCCAAGGATGGAAGACACTCAAAATACACAATGGACATAACAACAGACTCGAGCATACTAACGATCATGAAGACGACGCAGGACCTGTCAGTGTTTTGCTCTGTTGTACATGGGGTAGCCATGTGTGGGAGCCGACTCGACAGTAGCTAACAACAACATGTTTCTAAAATGGAGCACAGTATGTGACACACAGAAGGCATTTTATAGTTTGCTGGTTGACTGCTCACACGATCCTTCCTTAACAGACAAGGAGAGTAAGTCACAGGGGAGCCAAGACCAGGAACTGTCAGCCAGATGCTCAGACCCAGAGCGTCACAGGCACCCATATGAGGAGACAGAGGGAGAAAAGGAAGGACAAGCAAAGACACAACCGATGCTGCACTCACACCACACTCCAGGGACCTTAAACATTAACTGCTCTGCAAGCTGTTTTCTCGTCTGTAATTAAGTCTCACTGAATGGACTCAGTCCCCATGGGCAGGGTGGTCATCATTAACACAACTCATTTAAAATACCAGAGCGTAATCGGAACCGCCACAGACATCCGCTCTCAAACCGCGTGTAATCGGCTGGATGTGCTGAATGCCAGCCGCACCATCCATCACTCCCTGGAAAGTTCTTGCAGTCTCAATAATTCTGGACCCACATCACACCTGGGGGCCTTGGCATCCACCTCTGAGGGAGAAAGGGGTAGATGACACCCAGACCTCATCTCCTTATTCCTTCAACAACATTTCTCTGAATGCCTGCTCTGTACCGAGACCTGAGGAGAAATGGGGAACAGGAGAGACCTGGTTCTGCCCTCGAAGAGTTTGCAATCTGGGGGAAAGGAGGCGAGAACAAAGATGATTTCAACACAGAGCTGTGAGTGACGTGATGGGGGAAGCATAGGGACTGTGGCAAACTAGAATCAACTTGGCTCTGGGAAAGGCTGCCAGGGAGGCAAGGCCTAAACTGAGGCAAGAGTGAGTGTTCCAGACAGAGGGAATAGCATGTGCAAAGGCCCAGTGGTGGAAGTGAAACCGAGAAGCTGAGTGTAGATTGAGTGCAGTGTATGTGTGAGTGTGTGTAAGCACACACGTACATGCAGACATGCAAGAAGTGTACAGCACCTTCACACAATGATCCTGGAGGGCCA